ATTTTATCTTGCAATAAACTGGACATGTTGCATATGCAATTTTATATCTTATTACCTGTAACTAATAGCTAATAGCTGTTAGTTACCTGTAACTAACAGCTGCCAGCTATGAACGAGTTACAGGTAATAGGATATAGAATTGCACGTGTGTCTGTATTTTAATGTGTCAGAATTTTAATGAACCCATTAAGGTTAAGGTGGGATGACTGTCTGATTGTGAAACATCATAGCACAGACTGTAATATACAGTACATTAATTAATCATTTGTATTTCCTTGTGTTTAAAGGCAATTAAAGCTGTAGTTTATTACAGTCTGTGTAATGATGTTGCAGCTTTATTTTTCCATAGTTATGTGCTGTATAATGTCCCCTTGTTGGTTTTTTTAATATACCTTTGTGTTCATACTGTATAATGCAAAAGTGTTGCAATTTTTGGATAAGATATGTAACTTCATCTATTGATTTTCAGATCTCTTCTTCCAATTCAGTGTCATGTGGGAACTGGAACATACTCCAGCAAGCCATGGGCACAAGGTGTCCAACAGGCCAGAGACAAATACACACAGACAGTCACACCAGAGCCAGTTTACCCAGAAGCCATTTAACCTATCAGTATGTCTTTAGACTGTGGGAAGAAACCAGAGCACATAAAGGAAACCCACACCAACATGGGAAGAACACAAAACCTCCATGCAGATAGCATCTCCATGAATTGAGCCCAGGGCCCCAGTGCTCTGAGACAGCAATCTTTAGCACTACGCTACATTGCTACCAAGTGACCCTATGGGTATCCTGCTCCAGGATTATGCTTATCTTCCTGGGAAAGGTAGTTTAGCCCAGAGCTGCCATCTTGCCTGGACCAGCCAAGCTCACACTGTGTGCTCAATATGCTGACTACTGTTTCTCACTGAACGCTCACTGTAAATAAATTCTGTTTGGTCTTTATTCTTTATAAAAGTTTTTTAAAAATTACAATGCTCATTTTACCCTTGACATCATTTGTTCTGTACCTTTACACATAATTGGTTACTTCATGGGTTTTTCCCAAGATGCAAGAAGTGTAATACATTTTAGTGATTAGCTAAATTGAGCATTGTGATCTAAGCTTTGAGGTTCATTTTGATTTGATTGCCCAGCTGTTCTTGCATGCAGAAATACAGTACACGTACTCTTAACTATACAGTGCTACAGTCAAATGAATGGTTAGTACCTTTGTTGAGTCTAGATTATGATTGTCGCATTGCTGTTTGTATTTTTATTCTCACTTCAACCAGGGTTTTGGGATAATGGACACTGTATGTCAGTGCTCCATTTGGGATTCTTTGTAGAAATATGTGTTTGGTTTCAGAACACTTTCAGGACTATTCTTTTTATCTTGAAGGAACTATGCCTCTTTACAATAAGTATTGTGTGTTAGGTAAATATATGCTTGAAGCCAAAACACATTATTTTGTTTCTGTAGTAGCATATCTTCATGAATGTCACATAAATAACCATGCATACAATACATTCACACTGTAAGCCAAAAACAATATCTGTGTGCCACATGGAAGCACATTCTTAATAAAAGGAAGTTTAAACAGAGGAAATTCTTTAGAATTAGAATTACTTCTGAGACTGGAGCCAGATTAACAGAGACATTAAGCAAAGGAGTGTCCATTATAGTGCTGCAAATTATACATCTTTCTTTTGAGTATCAAGTTATTTGAATTTTTCCATCATTTGATACATTCATTTGTTGCATGAATGTGAAGGACTACATAATCTATAGTTAACTATGCTAAAATAATATTTGTTTTGGGGAAGAATTATCATTTCCCATTGACTTGCCTTTTATTTCATTTGGATGTGTTGCTAACATAATATGACATCACCAGCATCTTAGACCAAGTCCGGTCACTCAGATCCATCTTTGGAACCTGGGAAGGTTAACCGAGACAGGAGCTTTCAAAAGCTTTGCTATTCAAAGGGTGGTTGGCATGACTTTGATTGTTTACACTACCACAAGAAATGTAGTCCTCCTACAGCCTTTACAGTCAAGCTGCAGTGAATACCACAATACTCTTGAGAAAGAAAGTGGGGATATCCCAACACAAGTATACTCAGCCTATGTCTGTGATCACTAGCTATGCAGATATATAAATAAACTGATCGCCAGAACACTGGAGCCACAATGAAACCCATAATGTTTTCCATAAAAAAGCTATGTTCTTAGGAATCTACTTTATCTATCTGAACTCCAGAGGCAATAGAATCCCACTTGGTGTAAGTCTTTGGTCATATAGAGAGATTGCTGGATTTATACTTCTTGTAACACAGGTAGACATTGGAGCCCCACTGAAAAAAAAATATTTGATAATAATAATGAATAATGAATAATGAATAATTTCTTTCAGTTATACAGTATAGTGCTTTTCTGGACACTCAAAGCGCTTTAGAGGTAACAGGGACTCCCCTCCACCCCTCCACCACCAATGTGCAGCCCCACTTGGATGATGCAATGGCAGCCAAAGTGCACCACTACTCTCAACACACATCAGCTATATGGGGGGATAGAGTGATACAGCCAATTCATACTGTACATGGGAATTATTTGGAGGTCATGATAGGTAAAGGCTTATGAAGAATTGCTTGTTGTCTTATGAGATCATTGTCCTAAACTGATCTCCAGGAGGCCTCTACATTACAGAAAAGGTCTCTGATTTCTTTCAAACCTTCACTGAACTGTGCTGTGACATATTGTATCCCCACAGGATTGACAACATTACTGTGGCATTTGTGAGGTGGGGGGTGGGCATTCCTGTTTTGTGACAGCAGGCTTTACTTTTTGTAAATTAATCAAGTCACCCTCTCTAAACGCCAAGGGTAGCCTACGTTCACTGTTCTCTCCATTTGAATTCCCTCCTTTGCGTGCCACAACCCCCTTGTGAAACTTTTACAGCCTTTCTTCTAAATGTACTTTCCTCTTTAAAATCACCTCAAACCGTGTGTTGGTATTTAATAATTCACTGGTTTTAGTCATGAGCCAGACTAACACGAACCCCAGACTTACCTTTCTCACCTCTTTGTTGGTTGAATTGGTTGAGTTTTGCGATCAGATGAGCATATACAGTACAACCAGTATGCCTCCGATAGCCTCTCTCAGTGATAACTAAACATTTTCTTAACATACTGTATGTTTAAAGGCTTCTCCGGACTTTGTGCTGGCCTATTAAGACCTGATAAGCAGTGTGATAGTGCAAAGTCAGTTTCATAAAGGTTAAAGTTGACAACTTTGATTTATCTTTACATTTTCAGAAGAGTTGTGAAGGATCGGGCATGATGTACCAAAGACTTTAGAGCAATTTATTCAATAAAGGAGCCCAGCTAATCCTGAACAGCTGTGAAATTACCTACGGGAGGACTATATTTTATTAATACTTCTTTATTGCATTAAGATCATATTAGAGTAGCCAAGATGTGGGAGGTGAGAGCCTGCCAAAAGGAGAATATTTTTTTATGGGAAGCAGCTCAGTTGCTAGCTACAGTACAGTATAATGTTAACATTTTTAAAATCTTGCCATTTCTATTGCACTTAAGCTTTTTATGTCTTTGATGTCTTTTTTAAGCAAGCATATAGTTGATTTCTCAGATTAAACATAATGTAATACATGCTATTTATGAATCTCTGTGTATTTACTACTACTAAAATGTTGGGTATGCTTGTGGGAAAACATGGTCTTTTCTGGTAAGACTGGAAAATGTAAAGACTAATGTTTTTATTATACAGTATTTTCACTTAAATTGTACTGTAAATAGATCCAAATCTGTCTGATAAATTTTGATCTATTTAGATAAGATATGGCTAATATCTTATCATATGTACAAGTTAATAGGATGCCTAAGTTTAATGAGGAGCAGACTAAAGAATGTCTTGGAGAAAAACCAAATTCTAGTTCTAGTTATAACAACAGACAAGGTGTCAATAGATATAGCATTCCTGTTCAAGAACAGAAATGCTGATCACCTTGGAATTCATTTCACCATAGTTTGCAACAATCTGATTTTTAAGATGTTTGATGGAATTAGGTCCCCTTCCTTGCCTTAAAAGCTAGAAGAAAAACAGTGAGGAGTTACCCAGATGCTTTCTGTTTGTTTGTGTTTGTGAAATGTGTTGTATTCATCATCTTATAAACATTTCAAAGGATTAATACCAACAGCTGGTTCTTGCTAGCTGGTGAAAGACCAAGTGTGTTCTACTGTTATGTGGAAACGTCGGCCCAGGCTAGCTTTTTAATGCGTTTGCTGTGCCACTTGACAGCTGTGAACTGTGTTTGTGTGTTTGTGTCTAGGTTCATCCCAGAGGCCTGGTCCCCTTGCAGCAGGACGTGTGGCGCAGGGACGCAGAGGCGGGCGGTCCGCTGTCAGGTCTTGCTGTCTTTCTCCCAGACAGTGGCCGATCTACCCGACGACGAATGTGATGGCCCCAAACCCCCAGAGACGCAGCCCTGCTACCGGAGACCCTGCGGGAATGACGAGGAAGAAGAGGAAGGAGCCTTCCATCTTGTAGAGCAAGAAGAGCTTCACGACTGGGAGTATGAGGGCTTCACCGAATGCTCAGAGTCCTGCGGGGGAGGTGATGTGCAGCTGATGCCCTTATTTGTGTTGAACATAGAGGAGATGGAAAATATTAAACTAAAACGTGTCAGAATCAAATGCAAACAAATCAACTGCTTGTTTTTGCAGAACTCAAAGCACATTTGTGGACACAAGCTCTGACGTAAAGTACTGTGCAGATAATGAGGAGATGAATCATTTTGGTGTTCAAATGATTACAAACTGTGCAGCTCTGTATTGTTTTGAAAATAATTTGCAGATTTGTAGTTCCACTAAGAGTAAGGCAGCTTTTGTCCACAGATATAGTTTTCACTGCTTGATTTGACAGATTCTTGCATAAAATGAGGACATTTGTAACCCAAATCTTCTTACAGTTAGAAAATTCTGAAAGATCTTTGGCGTTATTATTAGTTCAGTTTGTAGCTTTTCTTTGTGTACTAGTTGCACCTGAACACAGGATGCAGACTGTTTTATATACTGTGTTTTTATACCTAAATGGGCAGGGATTTTGGACAGTAAAAAGAACTATAAGGTTTAATATTTTGAACCGCTGCCATTACCTATCACTTCCACCAGCACGCGCTGGGAAGCAATGGTGTCAAATTCATGAAACCTTCATGAGTTCCACAGTTGATGAGGGAAACCTGTATAATATTTTGGAACAGGCCAGAGAAAATAAATGAATTAATACAAAGGAGTAGAATTTTTTATGTGATCCATTTGGTTACCGTTCACTACACTGGAATAGCAGTATACAAAGTGAGCCTTACAGCCATTCCATCTCAGCGTCACAGAGAAAGGGACAATTTAGTCTCATTTTTTATGTTTCTTTCCAAACCATTCTTTCTGTATTTTTCTAATATTTCCCCTGTCTAGGAGGCAAGCAAATGATGTAGCAAGTAATATGGCTGCTGAGTTGATCATTTGAACAGCTTTGCATCAGCACTTGGTTGCCATACAGAATAGTTTTAAATAGTTTTTTGTCAGGCGTTTTCTATTACTTTTCCCCTTGCACACTAACAGCAGTATGGAAGGTGTTCTGTTGTCCTTGGTGCAGGGCTGCAGGAGGCAGTGGTGATCTGCCTGAATAAACAGACCCGAGAAGTGACGCAGGAGAACATGTGTGTGAGTCACCGACGGCCCCCCCAGCTCCTCAAGACCTGCAAAACAGAGCCCTGCCCTCCCAGGTGACCACATCATAATTCCCTCAAAGAAACAAAATCTAAAGATGTATATCTTAAAGATGTCAGGGTGTGAATATGAAGGATTCATTAAGGAGGTTAGCGTTCCACTGTTATTGTCCCTACATAACCAGGGGCCTCAGAATCTTTGTGTCATTTATTAAGCATTAAATGAGACTTGTGTTGAATCTCAGACTTTGTATTTACATGATCTGTTTGGTTTCAACCCCTAATGAGAAGGCCAGGCCCAGTTATTTCTCTTTCTAATCTACTTAACATTTACCTAGGCCTCCTGTTTGATATAAAAATGTAACGGTGAGATTTGGATTTTCCTCTTCCTTGTGGCCATTCTATACAGATGTTTTGGTTTCCTTAAGCATCATAACCACAGAATTCATGGGGAAGGACTGTAGTTTTTTTCTCAGCTTCCAGTCGGGATGCCTGTCCTGACACTGACTTTGGTTGATCCATCAGCGGTGACTATTGACGCCCTACATATTTCACTATGGTTTCCTGTGCCCCTCAGGTGGGAGACAGGGGCCTGGAGCTCCTGTTCTGCTTCCTGCGGGGTGGGGCTGAGGACCCGCGGCGTGGCCTGTAAGCACCTGCTTTCCAGGGAGAACAATGAAACTGTCGTTGTGAGCGATGACAAGTGTCGGTTGCTGAAACCCACTCCAGTGCAAGCCTGTAACCGCTTTGACTGCCCTCCAAGCTGGGAGACCCAGGACTGGGAGCAGGTAGGTTTTTGAATGTTTTGTGATAATATGCTTGGAAGTTGACATAACACCAAACTTACTATGCCCTAGGTGAGAGTGTTAGTAGGTACTTACACTTTGTAGGTAGCAGCGTGACCCAGTATCGGTTCTTGTCAATTCCAAAATGAAACATAACGAGCGTAACTGTTCCTTCACATTGGAGGCATCGCAGATTTCAGCAGAACACATTCTTGACCCTCACTTACAGGAACTGTTGCATTCTTGCGAAGTGTTATATACGTGTGTGTTAGACCTTGATTAGCCAGAAGTTCTTATATTTTCACTATATATATATATCAATCTGACAAATGTTTGTGTCCAAAATTCACCGGACTTTGTGTCAGTAGGCATTTTATTTCCAGGGAACACTTGAATTGCTTTGCTGTTGGGGAAAGAACTAGGGGATATTAACACTGTGCATCATAAACTGATGATCGGCTTGTCAGGCATAAGTATATTTATTTAGAACAATTTATGTTGTTTTTAATATAAATAACAATAATACAATGGTTCCATTTACAATCGACCTTGTTTTTCATTATTTAAATGCATTCTAGTTCCTGAATGTGTCCAACATATTTGGCCTTACTGACAGATATGTTTCAATGTGTGTGGGCTCCAGTTTTGTGGCCTCTGCGAGAGACAAAATAATGATTGAGAAATCATGTGTATTCAAGTCAGGGACTGTCAAAGAATGCATACAAACAGGACTTTGTGGTGGGTTTGTGGCTATAAATCTGCAGTGAATAATGATGTCTACACAACCTCTTTGTCCTGGGCAAGTAGTGTTGTGTATATAAAACATGCTTTGTCAAGAATATAAACTATGAAGAGAAACATAAGCATGACATCTTTTTTGAATAATGTGGTGATTTTTACAAGATTGTTAAAAGCTCATTTATAAAAAATGTCATTAATTTTGAGTACAGATTTATTGCGTCAAATACAGATTTTACAGTGTATTGAAAATATACAGTTTTAGAAATGTTAAAATTATATCTGAATATACACAAACTAGTGCAACTATATTTGTAATTACAGTGCCTTGCAAAAGTATTCACCGCCCTTGGACCTTTTCCACATTTTACTGTGTTAAAACATGGAACCATGGTGTATTTAAATGAATAGCTTTGCCACCCATCAACACAAAGTACTCTATAATGTCAAAGTGAAAATAAATTCCCGACGTTTTACTTAATTAAAAATAAAAAACAGAAAATAATTTAATGCATAAGTATAAGTATCAATTTTGGTTTCATCAGACCATAGAATCTTCCTTCAAATTGTTGAGTCTCTCACATGCCTTTGGGCAAAGTCCAGCCGAGATCTGATATGAGTTTTCAGCATAGGCTTTCATCAAAGGCCAGATTTATGATGTGAGTGAGCTATTGTTGTCTCATGCACAGCTTATCCCATTTCTGTCATGGAGAACTGTAACTCGTTTAGAGTTGTTGTAGGCCTCTTGGTGACCTCCTTTACTATGGCTCTTCTTGCCTGGACACTGAGTTTTGGAGGATGGACAGTTATGGGCAGATTCACAGTTGTTCCATATTTTCTCACCCTTTTAATGATGGACTTCACTGTGCTTTGAGGTATATTCAATGCCTTGGAAATGTTCTTATATCCTTACCCTGACTGGTATTTTTCAAGAACCTTTTCTCGGATCTGCTTGGAATGTTCCTTGGAAACGCACTAAGTGGGGAAACTCCCAGACACAGGTGTATTTATTCTGAAATCATGTGAAACACCTCAACTGCACACAGGTGGACTCCAGTCAAGTAATTATGTGGCTTGGAGAAGAGCGTTGGTTACTTCAGAGGTAATTTAGGTGTGTCAAAGCAAAGGGGTGAATACTTATGCATTCAATTATTTTCTGTGTTTTATTTTTAATTAATTTAGTAAAATGTCTGGATTTGTTTTTCAATTTGACATTATAGAGTACTTTTTGTTGATGAGTGGCAAAAAATCAATATGGCTTATCTACATAAGATAGATTACATTAACATTAACTCCTTACTTCTGTTGAATTTGGTGGGATTCAGGTTGATTTAATTTAAAATACTAATGACACAAAAATGAGTCAGAGTTACATGTATATTAATAACTTTGAAATTGTGAGTTAGCATGCTATTTTACATTTTATGTACAGTTTGGAATCTCCAGTCATTAACTATCTCAGCTTACCTCCACAATCCGGAGTATGTAAAAGGAGAATGAAGACTTGCACAAGTATTCCTCCAACACACTCACTTGTCATGGCCATTTTCCATTTCACATGTTGTGGATTCCACAGTACTTTACCACACAGTTAGCATCCTTTGGAGGATGCTCGCCAAATTCCAGAGCCTTGTGTTGCAGGGAAGTTGATGAAACATTGCCTAATTCAGGTAACCAAAACACAAGCGGTATTCAGATAGCTGAGTTCCCACCCCTCTGGGAATTCCAATCACATTATTGAGGCTCGACCAGTCATGTCTGGAATGAAGTTAACGCCTGGATCAGCCTGAACTCCAAGCTATTTGGGAGTCTCTCAGATAGGCCTCCTAATCCAAATCAGAGTTGTTCATCCTCTGTACTGGTCGAGCTCGTTGTGTGTGTTTGACCCTGCAGTGTTCCCGTAGCTGTGGAGGAGGCGTACAGAAGAGGGTGGTTCTCTGTAAACAGCGTCTTGCCGACGGCAGTGTGTTGGAGCTGCCGGACACCTTCTGCCCATCTCCAAGCCCTCCAGCCCAGCAGGCCTGTGAGAGGAGCGAGTGTCCAGCCAAGTGGGCCTCCATTGAGTGGTCACAGGTGTGTTCATCTTGGTTTCGGTTTCCCAGAAGTCCTTTTCAGACATAAGGAGAAAGGGGGGAAACATAAGACCGTAAGAAATGTTACAAGTTAGAGGAGTTACATTATTTGGTAGCTAGCTGTCTTAATGATCTAAATTCATAGATCCAATCCAGCCATTTCTTAAAAGAAACCAGGGTATTAGATTTTACAACATGGCTAGGTTAGGGTAACATGTTCTGGAGACCCACAACCTTTTTGTGTAAAAAATGTCCCCTGTTCTGATTTTCAAACGCCTTTCCTGAAGTTTCTATATGTTTACCTAGGTTTAAAAGCGGAGGAGTATTAAACACATACAGTACTTGAATACACATATGAAGCTCTCTCTTGAACAAAGTCAGAAGGAGCCTGCTGGCTTTAGTGTCACAATGACACCTACTGAATATCTGAATATAATATATGGCATTATTTTCAAGTTCTAACTTGGCTCTTATGCTGAATTTGCACTTTTTATTAAGATGCGCAGTGTTACTGTGGGTCTGTCAGACAGCAGGGAACAGGACAATGGGGAGTACAGACTGTTTTAAATACACAGAATGTATGGTGAGGTTCCAGCCCCAATTACACATTGGACACAATATACAAATATGTAATAGCTGTCATTCTAAAACACCAGAAGTAGTTACATCAACTCAGATGCACATTGAACAACTAGAACAACACAAAGACGACATTGTGCTCTCATCATGCCTGTATGCTAACCAAGTCCACTGGAACCCAGGCTTTGGTCTCATCTGCTACTGTACCTCCAGGGGCCGATTGTCATTGCAATATACTGTAATAACAGCTTAAGTCTGTATATCCAAAAGATAACACTCATGCAGTGTTGTAAATCTTTAGTGAAAATATTAGCATGAGTTAAAATAATATCAGCTTATTAATGCTGCTCCACGTTTCTGAAAAAATATTTATGTTGTCAGTGCTCCGCTACCTGTGGGGAAGCATCTCAGACACTAGTGGTGGTGTGCAGGAAGCTGAATGAAAACGGTGAATATGTCATTCTCAACTCTTCGGCCTGTTCCTCTCTGCCACAGCCCTTGACTCTGAGATCCTGTTCTCTGGGACCATGTGGAAGTAAGAGTTTGCTTTGAACCGGCTCAGATTTTACACCCGCCTCATGCCACTGATTCTGCAGTCCGAAACATCTGTGCTGATAAAACCAGCCTTTATACCCAATGGAACTAAATTTTCTACTGTCATTTTTTTTATTATTATTTTTTTCCCACCTTAGTCTTGTTATATTCCATAGGAAACTGTTTCAAGACAGGATGTCTGCACTACAAGCACAGAAATATTAAAAAAAACTGCTACATTCTAGTTTCATCTAACCATTTACATGCTTATAACCACTTTAATCTTTCTTCTTGTGTTCAAGACTAGATGGGGTTTGGTTCTTCAGTATCTCGTAGACTAATTATCTGTTAGCTCCCCTCCAGGCAGCCTCCTGTCTGCTGGCTCTGGTTTAATGTTTTTCAGCTCTTATTCCACACTCTGGGGAATACAGGGCCCTCTGTTGCTGCACCCCAATACCCCATAACACCGTCTCAAAATAATCGGGCTTCAGCCACACTGGGTGCTTTTAAAACTACTCTGAAAATTACATTTAGGCTAATCACTTCCATCACAAAGCAGTTCTGAACAAAGTTTGTAAGGGCTTGTGGCTATAAGCATGTGTGTTTTGCTTCCTGTATCGTAAATTACAGTCTGCGTTAAAAATTCTGAATTCATGCTCATATTTTTGCCATATGTGCCATAAATATGAAAATTATATAGTTTTTGAAAACTCTAAAGAACATTGTATAAATTAGTTGAATTTGAAGCTTTGAATTCACATTACGATTAAAATGTGTATATTTTAACTTGTGACTTTTAAGTAAATAAATAAAATGTATTTCTTTTTGTAACACATTTTGTTTCTTCGCCAATTTAACCCACCTTAGTTTAAACCTGGTCTTTCAACTGAAATGGATCAGTGTTTTTCCCAGATTTCCAACTCCCAATTCAATTTTACTTTGCAATATATTTCTTAATATAAATGTAACCTAAATAAACTGTTGGCCAGTTTTAACATGTAGGGATGAAAACTGATTAAATTAAAGCTTTTTACATTAAAGACATATGAGATTGGGCTCGTACTGTATTACCCAGTATTGTTGTAAGCATTAGACTTGTTGATAATTAAGAATTCTGATTGATTGGTTGGTTGATTGGATTGAATGATTGACTACTCAATCATTACATAACAGAAACCTTGATTTTAATTTGACTAAATAACATACTTTGCCACTAAATCCTCTCTTATAATCGTACTCAGTCAATTTCCAGACTCACAAGTGTACCTCTTTCTAATCTCATTCCAGGGTCTGCCAAGCCTGCAGGTACTAAGCTCAGTCCACATATCCTGGCTCAGAGGAAGGTATACGTTCAGTGGAGAACAGAGAAAAAGTTACAGTTTGTTGTCGGAGGATATGCCTATCTGAAGCCAAAAACCTCAGTGATTATCCGCTGTCCTGTCAGACGGTTCCACAGGGGTCTGTTAAGATGGCAAAAGGATGGGAAGCCACTTGCTGGTTTGTCCCACATCACAGTCACACCGTTTGGATACCTTAAAATCCAGCACCTCAAGACGTCTGATGCTGGGACCTATACCTGTGTGGCAGGCCAAGCACAGGAGAGTTTTGTTGTTAAGATCATCGGCTCCAAACATAAGCTCACCGCTCCAGAGAGCAATCTGTGGTTAACAGCTACGGGCAAAACTCTTCGAGAACATTTCCTCTTGCAAGATAAAGTGCAGGACCCAAGGGTTAAACTCAGCCTGTATGATGACATTGTCCTCCGACTCTTAGAGCTGAAAGCTCCTTCAAAGGAGAATCAATACTCCGGAGAGCTGCTCAATTCATCGGAGAAAAACGTTTCATTTTTGGAGGAGGACCACAGTCTGGAGACCTCTGTTCCTCTGACTCTTGTGACTGAGCAGTGGAAACTGGATGAAATCATCAGAAACCTGTCTTTCCAGCCAGAAGAGCTCAGGAGTTCCTTTGGTGACAAGCTCATTATGCAGCTGCTAGGGGAACTCACCAAGAACAAAGGGGAAAGCAATGAATCCACTTTGCAGCATCCTGAAAGGGGTGAGCTGACCTCTCTGGAATCAACCACCCATAAACTTAATCCTGCGTTTCACAAGGTCTCAGTCAACACAGACATACTCAGGTCTCGGGGCTCTACTGGAACTCCCAAAGAACAGCCCAGAGCCCCTTGGATCATGCAGAAAGCATTGCAGAAAAACCCTGCTTCCTCCTCAGAGGTCATTGTCCACATTGGCCTTCCAGTCCTGCTGCACAGGTGGACCAACAAGCTGGAGCTCAGATGTGAGGCTGCAGGCAGCCCCGAGCCAGCTGTCAGCTGGTCTAAGAATGGAGTAGAGCTCCATTACAGCAGCAGGTCAGGAATATTTCTGTCTCCAATACCAAGATTACTAATTTCCTGTGTTTGCTGAAATAATGAACTCGTTTTGTGACTTCTCTTCTGGCTTTGCAGCTGTAGAGGCTGTTGAAAAGGCTTTACAAAGGGTGACACTATTTACCCAGGCTCTAGGACTGTTTAATTTGAAGTTCAGTCATGAATCTCAACTTACAATTAAGTGTTTTATTTTGCTTTTGTTATGGCAGAGTAGAAAAGATGCCAGATGGCACCCTGAAGATTCTGGCACCAAGTGAGGCTGATGCGGGACTCTACACTTGCACTGCCAGGAACAGCATCGGCTCTGCTTCCCTGTCCTCTGATGTGCAGCTTGCAGGTTTGAGCACAATGATTAACTGCAGTGATTCATTCTGCTCCTGAATGGTCATCACAAATGCAGGGTTTCGTACATACTTTTGTTTGAAAAACAGACTCCCTTCCAAATCCCTCTTTCTTTTTACATCTCAGACTTCACTCAGGATTTTGTGTGCCTGGTGTTTCCTGGGCGAATGTCTTTGCATTCTCACTCACTCACTCCCTACTGGGACGTTTCTCCACTAAGTCAACACTGGAATGTCTTCACTAGGTCAACGTTTCATTCGCATATACAGTAATAAATGCATATCTTACAACCTTGCAAGGAAAAGAGAATTCTATCTGATCTACTTTTCCTCACCTACAAGATCACCTCCGCAATCTCGCCCTTACAAGGCTTAAGTAGAAGGCCTGCGAAGACCCCCTCAGCTGATCCTCTGCTTCTCTCCAGAGAGAAGTATTGATCAGTGACTGTGGTGAATGCAGGAACTTCACTATTATAGTGACAGCACTCTGTTATGCTGTTATAGCATTATATCATCAAAGTATTCTCTGTGAAGTTAGAGAATTGCTTTTAGCCACTGTTTTTCACTTGCCATCCCTTCCAGCTCCTCCACAGGCTGCTCCAGAACTTGCAGATTGGGCAGCTCTGGTTTCAGCAGCAGAGCCAGGCATCCAAACGCTCCTCATCGCTGGCAATAACACCAGAGCGTCCCTAACAGTGGGATCTCACATTCTCATTGGTTTGTGTTCCTGTTTTCCCTCATTCCACTCCACATTTATCTTCTGAATCTTGATGTTACTGAATACCTACAGCAATTCTGAAGTAATGCTAAAGCCACTATTACTTCTTATTGAAAAGGACCTTTCATAAAAAGCAGAACTAATAGCATGCCAGTAATACACAAATCCAAAGTGTAAAAACTGAAAAATAGAGTAAGTGCACCCAATAAAACCAAGAGTTAAACCAGATTATGTATTAAAAGCTTTACTGAACAGAGGGGTCTTTAAGTGAGTTTTAAAAATATTTACAGGCGCAGGGTCTCTAATGGACCTGGGCAGTGAGTTCCACAGACATGGTGCTGCAGAAGTGAAGGATGTACCTATTGTATACAGCCTGGTCTTCAGCAGACTTAAGAGGACTTGCATCAGAACTTCTCAAATGGCAGATCTGGGTCTACTGTAAATGTATTTAAAACCTTTTAAGACAAGGAACACCTTATATATAAGTAGTAAATGTGTTATAAAGGGAGATCATGAAAATGATTATGAATATGCCAAATGCTAGTCTAAACAGCATAGTATAGAATTCCATCAACTTACTATCAACAGGCCAAATTAAATTCTGATTCACAAACCGTAGACAAAAACCAGCATGTCGATTGAGAAACACAGCAACAATTGCGATGTTCTGAAGACTTGGTGTTTTTATTCTAAGCTGTTGGTGTGATGACTGCTTGCTTCAACCTGATACTGTATTTTGGTGTCTTCCATTCAGGATGCCCAGTGAAAGGTCGTCCCAGACCACAGATCTCCTGGTTTCACAACAGCCAGCCACTGGCTAAGGAACTGGGGATTTCTTATCAGCTTCTGGCAGAGAACCACGTCTTACAGATCTCGCGCATCACAAAGAATCTAGAAGGGGAAGTGAGCTGTCTCTCAGAAAATGAAGCAGGAACCCTACGGCAGAGCGCAGCCTTAGACATACAAGGCAAGTACTGTATCCTTGCTAAGGCTGATGAGTATCACAGCTCCTGCAAATCCCAAATTGTTTTTCAGTATTATTCCACAAATGCTTTTGTGATTTCTTTACAACCACAAATGTGCTCCCAAAGTTACCATGCAAAATTTCATGTTAAAAAAAATTAATAATCTGTATTATTGAAGATAAAAATGAAATCATGAAGGAGTGTTATGGGGAAAAAGATAACTTTCCCTTCCAGTGTTATTTGCCTCCCAGTGTTATTTTAATTGTTTGTACTAGTAGACAGCCCACACCAGCCTTTTAGTATTCATCTGTGAATTTTACAAACAAAAAAGAGAATGCACACCCATAGTTAATTAAGTGCATTGGGCATTGTGTTCAATGAAGATCAATCAGAATCATTTAAAAGATGGATTCACGCTTTGAAAACCATGACAATTAATTGAATGCCATCGGTATTTTAGCACAAAAAGGTCGTCATCAGGTCTTACATATTAAACTCAAGAAGGGTCTTATGTCATGTTATTATGTCGATAAGTGGCTGAAAACACAAGTTCATTTTCCAAATGCTTAAGGGTATTCATTTGCTTCACCTGAAAACTGTTCATTAGTGAAAAAATATAATAGATTAAATAAAAAATGTGCTCGAAGCCAGTGGAGCAAATCACTGTACAAGCCGTGTCCCAATTTCTGCTTATCTTGAATTTCTAACAGCTGTGTTTTGTATAAACCACGAACTCCATTAGTCACAGCCCAGTAGCAAAGAAAGCAAAGTGTCACAGCTATCAGCCCTGGATGTAATGGATGCAAAACGTGTCTCAGTACTTGTGTGAAACACGAAAAGTGGCACGGTACAGTATTTCAAAGTGAATAAATCATATTTACATTTGCACAAATAATTTTTCTGCAGTGGGTCAGCAGAATTGAAGCAAGTAAAGACATTTATTGTAAAGGAACAAGTAAAGGTTTATTCCATGCTGAAAAGAGAAATAAAGATACACAATGTTCGGCTCTGGAGCCTTCTTCGGGAGACATTGTAGGTTAGCACAAGCAAAATGTGACATTGTGATATTTACCCCTTTCTGGGTAAAATTCTAGGTTTACATAAAAAAATGTTTTGAAATTTATTAAATATTTTTAAGCATGACTTCTGAAAGCAATGTCTTATATATTCGTAGATTTGTACCTTCTAATTCTTTCTTACTATTGTTCAGTAAAAAAAACTTTACATTTAATTAATTTGTATTAATAGTTTGCTAGTTTTATGGTTGGTTTTGCTCTTCAAAATGCAGATGCCGACCCCCTCACCCCCCTTTCTCCATATTACAGTATACAGTCTTTTAACAGTGAAATGTTCACAATTCTGGCAGAATCCTTCCAAAACATGTCAGGGCGGCACACAGGATTTGCATTATACACTGCTGTGATTGTTGCCATGGATCTTGAAAGATACCGACACAATGGGGTTTGCCTCCCAAAATTCTTGTTTCCCATTTGTGGTTATACTGTACGAACTTTAATGCCCTGACGCCAAAGCATGTCAAGAACTTTTGAGATGTCCTGTTTTCAACAGAAGAAGGGCACACAGGACTTGGACAGGGTAGGTATCCTATACTTGTTCAACTCCAGCACGGGATTAAAGATTCTGCCAATGAATTTTGCCAATCTAGGGATCATTATGGTATCATTATGCACTGTTTGATTCAATGTTTAATGGACAAGAGCAGCAGTTGTCCTCTACCTTTTCTCTACTATAGCTGCCATTCTGTATGCTCTTATGAAGCAAATAAATGTGGTGGCTCTGTGGCTAAGGATCTGTGCCTGTGGCTGGAAGGTTGCCAGTTCATATCCCAAAGCCGGCAGAAGAATCCTACTCTGTTGGGCCCCTGAGCAAGGCCCTTAACCCCAACTGCTCCAGGGGTGCCGTATAAATGGTTGACCCTGCTCTCTGACCCCAAGCTTCTCTCCCTGTCTGTGTGTCTCATGGAGAGCAAGTTGGGGTATGCGAAAAGACAAATTCCTTAGACAGGAAATTGTATATGGCCAATAAAGTGATCTTAATCTTAACGAAAATGGTCACTTTTTCCCAGATTATGACTCCATCAAACTCCATCGTATGCCTGCTGCTGTGTTGTGTTCAAGTCTCATATCGATTTAAAGCAGCCCATGTCTTAAGGTGACACTTGTGATTAAGGAAGACTCGTGACTGGTCATCAGCAATGCACCTAGTGGAGAGGTGTAACCTGAAATCATTTTCTGACCCCTGTGAACCCAAGGTGTTATGTCTGCTGGGCAAAGATGTCTCCTGGATGGAGTGATGAGCAACAACTCCCAGTGCACGGATAAGACTAATTCTTCACTGACGACAGAGCCCTGTAATGGGCACCATTGTTCTCCCAGGTAGGATTCTAAGAATATGTGCTTTGATTCATGAAGCCTGTGACTTCTGCAGATTGTGTCAGTGTGTATAATCTAGAGTGTATATATAATATATCCATGCTGAAACATTTAAAATATCTTATTAAAAACTATATGACATCTTTCTAACATGTCAATCATCCACTGATTAGCTGAAAGCACCTTTTTTATGGTACTGGATGCAGCAAACCAGAGCTCTTCTTATAAGTGTAGGTTCGGGGCAAAACTATCAAGGTTAGCACACCAGTTCATCACAGTGCATACAGACACACTCACACCTACACTGATGCACTCAGGGACGATTCATAGCCCCCAGTTAACCAAGCCAGCGTGTCTTTAAAGTTTGCACAGTGCCCAGAGAAAACCAACAAAGACACAGGGAGGAAACCTTCACAGGACCAGAATATTTCTTTAAAATTCAGTCAAGAATGTACACATTGAGACTGAATAGATTCTGAAAAGGGCCTCTGGATGAAATCAATCCAAGTTCACATATGTTATAAGGTTATAATTATTTTGGGGAAACTGCTATTCCTCTGGGACAATTACTAGTGTATTTTAATCTAATATAATTCTATTCAATTTAAATTTAGACCAAATTTAATTCAGATTTTCTTTAAAACAACTATATATGTCATAGCATTTAAGTCTGTAGTCCATAGTCCACAGTTTTCTGGTTAGAGTCCTGGTATAATCCAAGGGTGGGCAAGATAGCTGTGGATTGGTTCAGATGTCCTCTTCTTTCCATGTGAGAGCAAACTCTGTGGTGCTATGGAGCTTATGGCAGAGAGCAATGTTTATTATGAACAGACGTTATCATCCTAGGGGCAAAAAAAAAGAACAATTCAAAATGTAGAAAACTTTACTTATTATTGGCATTTTGATAGTAGCAGTGCTGATCTCACCTGATCTCAAAAGGTAACAAATGTTGGGCTTGTCATTATTAGGGTGGAAATAGATCTCCAAGGAAAATCAGGCTGCTGTTAGAAATATGACTTGACCAGTAAGTGGCACTCCCCCTTCTGGACCACAATTTCCAAATAAATGCCTCAGTATGTTGACAGAGTAATGTGCAACAGGAGATGCCATCCTTCTGATTCGATGTCAAACCAATGTTTAACACAAATATTTGGCCATTAAAGATCCTATAGTATTGTTTTTGTGGTTAGAGGTGTTAACTCCTGTGTCCTGGCTAACTTCCATTGTGAAGTACCTGAATGGGAGACTTCCTGGGAAAGCTAAGGTTGCTGCTGGAAGAGGTGTTAGTGGGACCAGCAGGGAGCGCTCACCCTGTGGTCTGTGTGGGCCCTAATGCTACTAATAATCCCCACCTCTGAATTGGCTTCATCACTCTGTTCTCCTCCCCACTGATAGCTGATGTGTGGTGAGCGTTCTGGCGCACTATGGCTGTCGTCGCATCATCCAGGTGGGGCTGCACATTGGTGGTCATGGAGGAGAGTCCCCATTACCAGTAAAGCGCATTGAGTGGAGTGTCCAGAAAAGAGCTATATCTAAGGTCTAAGGAATATCTAAGCCTAAGGAATTTTTATCATTAAGTTACTCAGGCTGGCCTACATAAAATCAACCCTTAAATTAGTACTGTTGTGTAGTGGAGCTTTTGGTGCATAAAGGCTGCTGCAAAGGCTGCCTTTAGAACATATTTTAGCTAGATACTGTATGTTGGCAGGATGGTGCAATCTGACCATGTACTTTGCAGGTAGGGTATAGAGTACTTCTACTGCCCTTATTATCTTCTGTGATCCTTCAGCTCCACTGAGTGGTTTCTGCTACAGTTACATCTTACTTTTTTAAGGGTCCATCTTGAATATAATAGAAAATATAAAAATAGTCAAGTATTTTATTTTTCATTTTGAAAGACAGAAGTTCAGATTCATTTTTAAGACAAAGGATTACCAAGTGATGTATCACTATTTAGCTGATCATGACAGTATGCTCTTATCTGTATTTCTGTGTATTCTTTGGGACAGTCTGGAAACGTACAGTAAATTATAATCATACAGTTTTTGCATGCAGTTCTGTTTTCGTGTATTTTTTAATAATTTAAAAAACATTTTCAAAAGCTCCATTTAAAAATGTTCTCTTCATCGGTGCTATCATATATTTTAGGCATGCTTAGTTGCTTTAGTAAATGTAGTCTCACTACATCAGAAATATTTTTTGTTTTCAGATCCCTCTAAATATATATTTTTTTAAAAGACAATATCTGGCTTGTCTTTTCATTTTCAATTTTTTTTATCTTAATATAACTCTTAGTTAATGAGATATAATGATACAATTACAATATTGTTTGTATTAAGATGCTGTTGTATAAATTAGGTACTGTTGCTGACCTCTATAGGCTAAGAAGCTGAACTGCAATTGAGCAAAATTAAGTCACTGAGCAATACATTAATTTCCTTTCCGTCGATGTTGCTAATGCCATAATGTTTAGGTGAACTCTATTATATTATTTTCATAATTGGCGATAATCTGCAAGACTAAATGCTTTGATCCTAACATGACCAAAACAAGAAAAGGTTATTCACAAATACTGGAAAATAACAATTTTGAAATACATTTTCTGAGCACTCCTTCATACTTACTTTATTGTCCCAGCTGGAAATCTGCTTTGAATTTAGGTTAAAGACAACATAACATAATACATTTAATACAACACTCCATTAACAAATAAGAGACATACATGTATGATGAGAAAGAAATATATTCTGCTGCGACTCACTATGCCTTCCTCTAAATCTTTTTCTAGAACTCTTTGTCGTTCCTTTTCCTCCTCCCTGGGCTGCCTGCCCCCTTTTCTCACTAAACCAATATTCCGTCTCTTTACAGCGATCTGTTCCAAGACCAGGCTACCTATCCACCTCTTATTCCTTTACCGGTGTCTTTATTAGAATGTAAATAAAATATACAGTCACTTGTCAAAATTAAGCAGGTTAGTAACTGTAGAACTGTAGAGTCACTAATCCCAACTTGGCTTTCTAACACTCTTAGAATCTTAGAATCTTGTAATTATTTGTAATTGACGTGGCTATTTTCGTGAAACTCATTTCAAACCTTCACTGGACTGCGCTGTGACTCTTTGCTTCCCTACACTACAAACCACGTCTGTGAGATCATCTGAATTATCAGAAGATTCTAAAAGGCAGTTTAGTCCCTGCAATCAAAACAGCCCCACAGGCACTGTGTGCTTTTGATTGCTCGGATCTAGACTTGCTGTGCTTGAGCTTTCTCCCTCTGTCTCCCATGCTATAGGCTGGCATTAAAAGCAGAGGGTTGTGTTCAAATGAGCCAAGTGGAGGTTTCACAGTACCCTGGTATGCCTTTTTGGTGAAAAGATCCAGGCTTCTATTGGTACACATTGGGCAGTCAACATATTGATAGAAATTGTACAAAGACTTCCTTTGGTTTCAGTGGTTAAAATCACCATTTCACTTTAGGATGAATGTACGCAACGGTTTCAGAAGTCTGCAGGAGTTCTCTGTGTAGGTAATAACATTGACAGCAACTCAATATTAGCCAGACAGAGCCTCTCTTGCACCGTGATACAGTATATACAAACACCTCCCTCCTGTGTTCCTCCTGTTGCTGTTCTGTCTCGGTCCAGCCTAAAGGAGGCACCAAAACTTCAATGGCCAAGTCTGACTTCGTGTCTATGAGCCAAGTCTCTGGAAAGGCCAGGAGACCAGCGTCCCTGTATTCATGGAGACTGTTGACATTTGCTTGTAGCTCATCAGCCTTGCTCCTAAGAGAATGAACATTACTCATGTGGCTGTTGTGATTTATTGAGGAGCTGGCTGGTGTTTTTTGCACAGTAGCAACACTACTTCTCTTTTGAAACAGAAGTAGCATTTCCTGTGCCTCAGAGACGAAAAAATCCACACAGGGAATGGAAAAAATGTTTCAAGAAAAGGTCGGTTTTGCCCATGGTGCAAGAAAAGAAGCACTGTAATGGAGGTTTTAGTAGAAATTGTTTTTCTGACATGCTGTACACTTAAGGGACATATAAAATGTATCCAAAGAAACAGTTTATTATTGCAGTGTCATGGGCTTTGTAAAGAGTGCAATGAATAATTGGAAGCATTTCCTCTTTGAGAATGAGTCATTGCTTTCAGCTGCTTTTCAGAAATTATCCCTTTAACATCTGTTTTCTTAATGCATCCTCAGTTATAACGGTGGGCGTAGTTAGAGCTCTTGGGTCCTGGGTTCAATACCTTCTGTGTGGAGTTTGTATGATCTCTTCTGTGATTACATGTGTATTTCCTGGCTGCTTTGGTATCTTCTCAGAGACATACAACTTTATGTTACAGGTTTAGCTGCCTACTGTACTTTCTTCCCCCAGAATTAACTCCCTGTACTAAAAACAATGTTCTGTTTCAGTGCTGGTTAATGGTAGCTCTTCTTTTCTAGTGTCAGATTTGGAAATGTTCGATTTACTGTATTCTGATTTGAAACTGAAACAACATCTGCCTAAGAATGATAGCTCCATTTTTGCCACTGCCTAGATTTAATTGATTTATGTATGAATCTTCGCTGCTACTGCTGCTATCATGGTAGAAATGCTGTTAGATCAATTGCAGTAATAGGTTTTAACATGGTGTAAGACACAAATGAGTGGAGTGCTCACAATTTACTTTGATACCCAATGATATTCCATTAAAGGATAATTTTATCTGATGGACAGCATTTGTTCATTGACCTTGTTGGTTAAAAAAAGGAAATGGATGTTTCAGAGGGGCAACTACTCGTGTACCAGTGGGTAGTATTGCTGCCTTGCAGCAGTGGGCTCCTGGGTTGAATTTCTGGGGTGCTATCTGTGTTGAGTTTGTATGTTCTCTGCATGTCTGTGTGGTATTTGCCACAATCCCAAGTGCTGCTATGCTGGTAGGTTAATTGACTTCTGGAAATATTTGGCCGTAGTGTGAGTGTGTGCGTGTTTGGGTCTGTGTCAGTCCTGCGATGTACTGGCGTCCCGTCCAGGGTGCACCCTGCCCTGCACCCGCTGTTTGCCTGAATAGGCTCTGGTTCCCCCGGGACGCTGACCTGAATGAAGCGGATCAAAAATGGATGGATGGGTATTTTACAGACCCTGTGGTGTTGGTAACAAGCAGCACGTTTGTCTGTCTCCTCTGTGGCAGGTGGCTGGTGTCACCCTGGTCCCTGTGTTCCAGGAGCTGTGGGGGTGGTCTTCAGAACCGCACAGTGTCGTGCCACAGGGAGCCCGCTGATGGCATCTCCACTCCCCTGGCCGACAGCAGCTGCTCTGAGGCAGGCCAGCGGCCTCCAGATTCACAGTCTTGCAACACACTGCTCTGTGTGGGCTGGGCAACCTCTTCCTGGACACAGGTAAGACCTTGCAAGAGAAAGCGAGTTCTGTAGTCTGAGCCTGCCCTGTTAGTTTCACTGTTAATCTTGACTGATACACGGGGAAGCGGATGTGCAAATATGTCCTGCTGAAGTTCTAGAAATTAAAATACTAGCCTCTCAAAGGTTTCGGGGGTATGTGTAACTCTAATGCATTTTTAGAACCAGGGAACGCAAATGTAGACTACAAAGAAGTGCATTTAAAACTTAGAACAGGTACCCACCCATCAGAATAGTTCTTGCTAAATGTAACCTAGTAAAGAAGTGCATATTATCACCTATGTGTCGCAAATTTTATCTTAGTTAAGTTCTAATCCTTCCCTCAGGTTATGCTTCAGTTATTTGCTTTCTTCTTTATTCAGTCTTCTGTCTCTTCCAGTCAGACCAAAATATTTAAGAGTGTTAAACCGAGTTTAGGAGACTATATCGGCAAAGACAGGTTTTAAGACTTGTTCCTTTTTCTTATAGTAGATGTTCATGTTCTGTGCAGCTGTATATTTTCATTACGAGGCTGAATAACGAATACTGCTTCCTATAGTACTTCCTGACTTTGGAATGGTGATATTCCTTTACTATATTTTATTTTCCATGGATGAAACAACCTCACATCTTCATGTTAATAATATCTAGTTTTACTGTAAGCATTGGTCAATATTACACACTTCTGCACAATGAAAACCAATAATATACATTTTGGATCAGTTGTGGAGGGGAGCCTCCTGAGTAGCTCAGCTAGTGAACTAGTAAAAACTAGTAATCTGGTCAAAGTCATATGAACACAGATTGAGCTACAGACTGGTGCCTGGTGGGTGACTCACATTTCCCATGGTGCAGCAGAGATTTCTGCACTTTTTATCTTTTTTCCAAGGCCAGAGCACCTCAAGTATAACTCCAAGCCTGGGTAATGGCACCACTCACTGATTGCCAAAGCGGTGGCATGCAATTGGCCATTTTGTCTAATATCTATGTTTGAAGTATTTTATTAAATCCAGATTTTTTTATTTGATTTGATTAAATCTAGACCCAAGTGTTTCATTTGCGCCTCAGAAAAATCTAACTTTATCATTTTCTGTTGCTCTTAGACATAGATTACTGTTTGGCATGGTATGAGGGTGGAGGGCAGACCAGTAGTTTTTTGTGGGGGTGGTGAAATTAGCTTTGGGAATCCCAGCAGGGGTTCAGGCAGGATGCATTCATACGTATTTGAAATTTATTGGAAAACCTATTGGAGGAAAATGCAGATGATACACACCTTAAAGGAGAGGTCTGCCCTGATGAGATTGTGACATATGACATATTTCTCTGCTTCACAGTGTCAAGGACAGTGTGTCGGACTGAGACTGGCGACACAGCACAGACACGTCTTCTGCCAGGACAAGAATGGCACTGGGCTTCCTCTGAATGATTGTGATGGTCTTCAGAGGCAAGGCTGGAACTTATAATATATTCAAACTTTCATCTAATTTACAAGCTAGATGCAGAACACCTGATCAGTGCCATAGCCTCTGTACCACAGTTTTGCATTGTGGAACATTTGTCTTTTA